CCCTTTACAGATGAGGCTGGTAGGGTTTAAATCCCGGCTGCCAGCCAGGTTCACATAGCCTGGGTTCACATAGCTGGTTACGTGGTGGCTTGGAACTTGGACAGGGCAGCTCCAGAGTGTGCACTCCCAGCTACCACCCAATCCTGCTTGCCTCTGCTAAATTATCTTCTTCCAGAGACACACGGACTGGTGGAAAGGGAGAGCTCGGATCAAACTCAGGCAGTCAAATTCCAAATGATCCACCTTTCATGCCCACATTAACTGGTTGTAAGTGGGTGAACTGCTAACCACACCTATATGCATGTGTTCATTTCTGATTATAGAGTTGTAGATGACATAATTTTAGAGACTTTCTTAAAATATTTTTACTTAAAAACAAGGGTCAGATCAGAAGAATGTCTTTTTCACACTAAAGGCCTTGACCTGGACTGAAAAATGACCTGTAACTGCCTTTGCTTCTTGCAGGTGTACACACACACACACACACACACACACACTATAATTATCCTCCTAGGGTCCCCATGAGGCCTGGGTTATAAAGATGAGAAAAGGGCAGGACCATACTGAGAAGAGTACATTCCAGGTATACTCCTGACTAGGCCGTGAGGATTTGGCTATCAGAAGGGAAAATGAGGCACCCACTTCACTTCAGACTTCGACCACCATTGAGCCCTTCACTCCCTCCCTCACCACCGAGTTGATGCCGTCTGCCCCAGTGAGCTTCCCAGAACGGGAGTAGAAAGCACCATCTTTCTCCTGTGGATTCGAACTCTCGGCCTTGAGGACCTCAGCCCAATGCGTAACTACTATGCCCCCAGGTTTCCTCAAGCCCTGTCACTCCAACCATTTTAATGGAAAAATGCCTCTGACCACGATTGAGACTGTCCTCAAGGTATTGATTCCGAAAGATTGACAGATTCTTTTTTGTTTTGTTTTCACAAGACTTGTGACTGACAGAGACGTCCTGGAGTGGTGTAGGTAAGCACTAGATTACTACTCTAAGGTTGGTTGGTAGCTCATACCCAAAAGGTACCCCTGAACAAGGGCTCTTCTAACAGCCTATGGTGCCAGTTTTACCCTGCAACACCGGGCCGCCAAGAGTCAGAATCGACTCCACCTCATCTGGTTTGGGTGTTAGGGGTCATGACTGACATTGTGGTAACATACACAATCACTTTAAACGCAGGCATGTCTACGGAAGTTTGGGGCCCAGGAGAACCAAAGAGGGTCTCGACCTAGAGCAGACTGTTGGCTCTGCAATCGCCTCCCACACCCCTCTCTCCTTCTGAACCCCAGGGCCCGGCGTCAGGTCTGGCTGCTTCCCACTTCTCTGACCCAGGACAGAATGAGTTGCCTCAAGGCTCTGGGTCCTTGGAACGCTTTCTGTGTATAGAATATTTACTGGCACTTTGCAGGGGGCCAGTTAAACCGCAGGCTTCCGCCTGCCTTTTGAAAGATGCTGAGGGAGGGAATTCTGCCGGCGGCAGATGGAGAGGAGACCGGGCCAGGGTGGTCACTCCCTCCCGGATTAGCTGCCCCTGGCATGCCCAGGCGTCCCCACCCGTGCGCTCCCTGCTAGCACTGCTCCAGTTGCCCGCGACGAGCTCGGCGGACGGACCAAGTCACCGGCCTCATCTAGCCGTCCCCACGGCTGCGGACCTGGGACCTCGAACCCCCGACGGGCGCGCCGGGCACTGGACGCTGGCCTTTCTGTACGTGTTTATTTCACATGCTGGTCTCTTATTTCCGCCGCGAGCTGCCCCGCGGGTGACTTGTTAGTTCAGCTGGAAGGGAAACCTGAAAGGGGGTGGGGGCTGGGAATGTCCTAAAGCGGGATTTCGTAGCAGCCCCAGCCTCCTCTCCGAGGAGAGACGTTCCCCCAAGTGACTCTCGGGGTCCCCGCCGACACTGGCCCCTTTAAGAAGCCAAGTCAGTCAAAACGCCACTGCCGTTTGTATTGCTAATCCCCGGGAGCCCCGTTCAAAAAAAGCAAAGGAAAGAAAGAAAAGAAAAAGAAAGGGAAGGAAAAAAAAA